AAGTGGTATCTCACTCTTGACCAATGTACACTGCTCAAGAGGAGCAAGTGAAGGAGAAAAAGCACAGTGAGCTGGTCCGCGATGGCAATCTAGCTTTAATTTCTCTGTTTGAAATAGGGTTGGTTTGGGGGCTATTTCACTTCCTCCACTCAATTCGTTCAGTACGGCAAGCAAAAAGCCACGGTCCGTCCCAACGACTGTGGACTTTTCCGAGGGTCAATATTATTGTTGGGGGGGGGGTGGGTTGACAATTTTGCTTAAATTAGTTGACTCAATTGTGAAAAAACTCGCGGTCTCGGTGGGAGTCGAACCGAATCGAAGGTATCCTATGGCCTTTTACCTTACCTTATCCCTTGCTCTCCGTGAAAAGAGCTATTCTTTTCTAAAAAATTTTGGATATTTACCGTCCAAATAAAGCATTTTTTCTCTTTCTCTCTACTATCCGAACCCTTGCTCCTGGGAAGGTTTGTCAGACAGTTCGATCAAGGCGTCTTCCTAGAGTTTCGCTCACCGCGTTCCTCGAATAGGAACCTTCTATGAACAGAGTTTTCTTTTCGACAGTCCGTGTGAAAGGAATTTCTGGTTGCTCTCCCATATTTTTCGCGTCTGAAATGGTTTCTTCCTAACGTGACCTCTGGCATTGTCAGATATGTAACATCCATGCCGCCAGACCATTTTTTGTGAAATCCTGGTTCTTGTGTTGGGCGGACCAGGTTAGGCGTGTGGAACGCTTAGACGAGCCCCTGCACGCCTTTTCTACACTAGCCAAGTTAACGGCTCGGGTGGTAACTGGGGCCTGGGAATGAGAATGAGCTCGATGGTCCAACGCATTTTGCTCACTGTGAACTATCTGACGCGCTTTAAGCTACCACGGTGAGCTAAAAGCTCTGGCTGGAAGTGTTGCCAGCCATCTGAGACCAGACAGTTAGCCCAGTGAGAAGAAGACGACTCGATCGCTCGAACAATACATTTATTCGCCTGACGTTTCGACATCCGTCGCGGATTCATCATCAGAGACATTAGCGGAAAACGGTAGCAGAAACACCGTGTTTCTTTCTTTGTGAGGGGATTGATTAATGGGCTGGGAGTCAAACTACAATTTCTCCTTCTTTATGTGGTTTTTAGGGCATTTCCATTCCGTAGGCTGTAAAGTAGGTGTGGAAGTATACGCTTAGGGGCGAATCCGGTCACGTTAGTCACCTCCGGTGCCCTCTCCCGTCTCCCATGT